GAAATTCTACTCAAAGACAGGATATTAATGCAGTGGTTGAAGGTGATAATAAGTTGTTGCACTAATGTTGGTGATACCCATTGATATTCCCCCACAGATCCTCCAGTTCCTTATTTCTCTATTCTGTTGGCATCCTCTACCTGCCAGTCTCAGTTTAGTCTACTTCACTTGCTTATTTTGAGTAAATAATTATCTGACTTAGCTTCAGCTATAAGTTAAGGTTGCCCAGGTGGAACATAAATTGCCCAACCAGCAAGAGGAAATATGACTGGACTGATGTTTGGAAGTTAAGATTTCAAGTTCAACACTTTTCTTGCAGGATAGTTGTAATGGTATATATGTAAAAGTAAAAGACAACTTTTAAAATTCTGGAAAATTTTAGCCAAGAAGTTATGACTACTGTCTTTTAATACTGTAGGAGGCTGATACAGCCAGCTTTCATTTGTTACTGCTTTGCATGTAGAAGTATCATATTTCATTACTTGTAAGAGTTGAACTAATTTGCAGCATTAGAAACTCTGTGTGTCTGCAATATCTTTCTCATGACAATTTGCTGCTATCCCAGGAAGCATTAAGCTTTTGCAACCAGTCATTAATAGCCACAAATGACTGGAGGGGAAGAAGCTGACTGAAGGAAGCCAGCTGTTTAGTGTGATAGACAAGGTTGTGACGGAACTTAGAGGTCAACATTTCCAATCTTTCTTTCCTGTCTAATGAGTATAAGTGTGATATTGGGACTTAAATATCTGCATTTGTTTCCCAGCAAATATCTAATGTTCTGTTGAAAGACTATTTTACTGCAGGTTTACTTGCAGGTAAAAATCCTTGATAGTTTATTTAATTGCTTCCCTCTTATAAATAAATTCAGGAATAAGTATAAATGGAAACTCTATCACTGCAGCTTAGTCTAGGACTGGATTTGGCTTGAAGACTTGATGAGCCTGGAAAATACAGGCTCTGGTATCTGGAAGTTATCTCCTGTTACCTTCTTAGAATTTGATGACTTGTAGTCTGGGAAACTGCTGCATGCTGGAGATTATGCAATCATTTGATGTTTGATTCTATCTCTTACATGACAATTAAGAGGTTAAGATCCATGTTAAATGCTCTTATATAATCATTTGGTACCAAGGGTCATATTACTCCAGAATTTCTGTTGGAGAACTAATTTGGAATCTCCACCTCAGTTGCCAGTTTGGAGAGTTACTAAACTACTTTGAGTATCTCGATATTTGCATACTTTGAAAATCCAGCAGAAATATGTACAGCCTGATCTTAGATATTTTAGTTTAGAAGTAACTATTTGAGTTCAGTAAGATATTCATTGGACTGTCATCTTAATTTGGGAAATGTCCAGACATTCACTCCACTCACTAAATTACTTGTGCCTTTTCATCTGTGCAAAACTAAAATCAGTACAAAACAGGATGGATCATCTTCAGCCTATTTCAGTCCTAAACATGTTTTGTTTCTTCACATAATGCATGTAGCTTGTAGAATTCATTACTACAAATACAGAAATGGATGTTTTGCTTAGGTTACATTAAAAAGAGTTTAGATAATGTTATGGAGACTAAATGCCTGTGAATTTAGAAGCAAAATGAGTTCACCCAAGTTTCTACAAACTCAGGTAACTTTGTATATTTTCAGGATTATATAAGTTTGTCAATTATATAATTTCAGTTCTAAGCATGGGATTGGTAAGTACTTGTGAACTTTCAGGTTGCAAAGAATGTTGAACTGCTAGTTGAGGATGAAAAAATAAAATAGGAAGACACCAAGAAGAGGCAAGAGTGAAAAAATGGAATTGTCCTGTGTTGGTTTAAAACAAGATGTTCTACCATTCTTCAGGGTGTCGGCATTTTTCAGAAGGAAGGAAAGAAAAAAGAATACCATTTCCTTTTACTCTGACTAGTAATTGCTCTCCATTATTTAAATACACTTTTTTCATCACCTGATGTTTGCTATTTTTAGCACAGCCATGGCCTGAATAAGACCATATGTCTCATCTTCCATCCTAGCTGAAACCTTTAGCAGGGTTACTCCTCTTGGGGACTAGAGAGAATGTAGAAGTATGTTGCTATGTATCCCTGTTGCCTATGCGGTGTAATAGAACTTCCACATTCACATGCCTTATAATGCTTGCAACAAAAACAAAGCAGAATTATGGCTTTTGTGTTATATTTATAAACTGCAGCATCTTGGGTGAGCCCTGTAGGATTTGGGAAGGTAACTTAGATAGTTCTTTAGAATCCAGGAGCATTTATTTAATGCAGATGTTTCTTTGAGCCCAGTTTATTAAAATAGTGTATATTATTTTAGCCTAAGTTTTGAAGCATTGCAGTAATCTATGCTTTTCTGCTTATTGGATGAAAAATACTTGTGAAAATCAGCAGGCAGTTGAATCCTCTGGCAGATGCAGTAGTCAGTTGCAAAAGCTGGCTTGGGTTTCCTCCAGCACAGCATATAACAAAGCTAGCTAATTATACATTGTTTAATAGATGTGAGAAAGATGAAAAATTGGGCTTGTTTGAGCTAATTTGTCCCAAGTGATCAATGTTTACACTGTGGCAGGCAGCCAGGTCATGATCTAAAGTATTTTTATGGAGAAACATGCTGGATATTTCTTACATTATTTTTAGCAGATGTTACAGGAGGTAGCAACACCAAAGCATTCTTGGCTGATCTCACAAAGCTAAGCAGGATGGGGCCTGGTTAGTACATTGATGAGAGGCCATTAGGAATTTTCAGGGCTATAGACTAAACTGGAAAGTAAAAAGTAAAAAAAATATGAGATGAAGGCTGTGGCAAACCACTTCTGCATTACTGCCAGAAAAGCAACATGGCCACTTAGTCATCAGTAACCAAGCTCTGCTTGCTCATTAAAGATCAAATGCTTAAATTACTGGCTTTTTGTTGCCATTAAATAATTTGTTGCTGAAATGAAAGTCTGGCTGATGTGCCACACCTAGAGAAGGCAGGTAACAAAAATAACTTGTCAAAATATAAGGGCAAAGATGAGGAGGAAGTTGAAACTGCTGGAACAGAAATAGATATTTCTAGTCAGTGTCTGTCTCATAGATATCATATGCAAGGGACAAAAAGAGATTTGAAACTAAAGAACTTAACCTGGACATTTTGAGAGTTAGCTCTCATGGTCAGAGGAGAACAACATGATATCTGATATATCTATTATCAGAACAAGAGACAGATGGAAAATCAGGCCTCCCACCTGAAAGAGAGGGCCATCTGACCCCTTGCATAGATCAGGCAGGAGAAGGAGATGCAAGAATCTGAACATTGATTTCACTATAAATAGGTCTTGCATTTGATGCACAGGAGTCATTGGAATGCTTATGTAATGGCTTCTTAGCCTTTCAACAAATGAAGTATCTACCAGAACTTCCTGCTGTCTTGTATGCTGTTTAATTGGTTCCCATCTAATCAGTCAGGAGAAGCTTGAGAAGATTTTAGATTCGGAGGCTTTAAAAATGCTAACTTTAGTAAACTAACATGAATTCAGAATCTTCACCCAACAGAGGGAACTTCAGATATGAATCATTGACTTCTGTGATTGGCAGACAGTATCAAATCATAGGATTGAGCAAGCCTAGATTCAGTGGTAGGAGTTTTTAGGTTTCATATCTTGCCTTTTTGCTTCATTTCAGCCTCCTTTGTAGTTCAGACTATTAACACTGGATATCTTGATCTAGAATTCACATCCTCTCAGTTAATATGTTCACAGCTCCTGTGTTGTCCTGAACTGAAGCTAAGCTCTTTCTTCAACTTCTACTGTCCTCTCAAACCTCTGATCTCTTGTTGAAGCTTGGAACTCCTGTACATTTCTTTTTGTTTAATATTTTTTTAATTATTCACACCATCTTCAATCAGATTTCCATGTTATATTCCAAAGGCAATTGCATCAAGTAGATGTGAAAAGGGTAATAGGTGTGTGCTGAATAAACTTAGCTACATCTTGAGAAAAAAAATCTCAGGGAAGTTTTTCTGTTTTTGTTAGTTTTTAAAATGAACATATGCCCAGTTTAAAAGATACAGGACTTATTGCCATTATGGTAAATGAAGCAACAGTTCTGCAATATTTTTCATATGCCAAGATGCAGATTTTTAATTTGGTGGAACAAGTAGTCTATCCTTTTCTGAATGCAAAAGGTTCTTATTAATGAAATATAAATGTTCTGGTACTTCCTAGCTTGCAATCAGAAGAACAACTCTCAATAAGACCTTCACACCTGTTCTGCTTGGAAGTGCCCTGAAGAATAAAGGGGTGCAACCTCTGTTGGATGCTGTTCTAGCATATCTCCCAAATCCATCAGAAGTGCAGAATTATGCATTACTCAACCAGGAGTAAGTACTAATAACGAAGGGGGGAGAAAACATCTTGTCTTTCTTGATATTGTTCCCCTTCAGATGTGATTGCATGGTTGTGAATCTGGGAATTTGTAATGCTAGCTCATCTGGGACAGTATCATATTATGGAAAGCTGATCTAGTTTTCTTGACTTTATACCACTGATGCTTGGAGATGATAGGACATAATGAGGAACTGGATAGTGCAAATTACTTTCTTCCAGGATTTGAACTATTAATATTGCTTAAATTAAAATATATTACTCCAGTTATCATTGTAAAGAATCCTGAAATGGCTTACAAATCCAACTATTTTCCTACTCTATACATGTTTTAGCGAAACCTCCATTGAATTTTAAGTCAGTGTTAGGGCACTGACTTCTTAATTCTCTTGCTGACAACCATTTGATGGACAGGGGAAGTGGCTAACCATTTTCCTGATAATGAAGAAATATGCAGATGCTTGGAGCTAGTAATGTTTTGTAAAACATTGTCTGTTTTCTCAGGCTCTGAGAAGTCCATCTCTCATAGAATTGCTTATTGCAATTCTTTGGTTTACAAAAGCATTTTCTTTGAATGACTGGCACGGAGACATAGCCATTTTATGATATCCCAGGCATGTTTATAGAACACCTTGCACTGGGAAATGCCTGAAAATTGATGACATGGCACGGTCTTGACTCTACAGCTGCTCTCAAAGACTAAGAAAAGAAGTCATAAAGAGTCTGAAGTTCCAGTCAGTACTGCAGTACCTAGTCCTTCTTGCTTCTGTTAAACATAAAACTAAATCATACATGAGAGATATCCTTAGATTTGTAATATTGCAGAATTCCTTGCCTATAGATAAATAGACATGCCTGGGATATAGTTTATCAGGAAATAAGGAAAGGCTGGATTTGTCACACACCACATTTTTTAAAAAGTACATTTGAGATCCATTAGCATTGTGGCAGTTCCAGATCTAAAGCATGTTGTTGACTCATTCTTCAAAATGTCCCCAATTTAAACTTGAAGTGGCTACTACCAAAAGAAAAACTATGTTAGTTTTACCTAGAAAGCCCAGCCAAAATACTATGAAGTATGCTTCATGCTAGGTATAACTATAAAATCGTCTCCTGAGCTAATAGATACATCAGTGTAGCCTATAGGTGGCAGACAAATCAGAAACTGGATTGCTGATAGTTACTGTGCTTAGTGATAAATTGGTGAATAGGGCTTTATGGAGCTTCAGATTTTATTTGATTCAGAACTTGCAGGAAGATAAATGCAACACTTATCTGTGATTCATTTAGCAGCATGTTGTGACTTCTGTTGCAGCCATATCCTGGAAGCAAATACTGCTGCTTTAATGAATGACAGGTGCTACATATATACTCCCATGTGATTTGAAGCAGCTTTTCTGAATCAGATGAAAAGCATTGCACAGCCCATTCAAACAGCCATGTCATTTGCAGTTACAATGGTAGCTAGTTTAGATGAAGCTTTTTATAATAGTTCATCACTGGCCAAGAGAGTAGGTTACATTAAACCTCCCTGTGGTGGTGTTTTTTTCATGTGTTACAGCATAAAGATAGAACTTTTGTAGAGGCATATAAGATATCTTATGAAGGCGTTGTTTTTGGGGGGCCATCTCCAGAACACTGGCTTTGTAGCCTTTCATAGTTCTTTCAAATGGAAGATCTGTCAGAGACCAAAATAAATGACAGTATTACCTGCTGACAATACTCCTGCCCTACCATCTTCAGCTCTCTTACACTACTATTGTCCACCTCCACAGGACCTGATAGGACAAGCTGCATAGTGCTTGAATGCTAGTTCTTCATCTCACAGAGGTCTTCAGAGCTTGTGATAATGTACATTATGTTACCATGTACAATGAAGCTCCACAACAAGAACAGATTGATAAATACTTTTAGAATATTGATATTTAAACTACACTTTATTTTGCTGAAGGGATACGCCGGAAAAATCCAGGATTTTGCTAGGTTCTGCGAGAAATGATTCCCTGCCATTTTTGGGCCTGGCATTTAAACTTGAGGTAAGTTTGTTTATTTTTTTTAATTTAACAAAATATTTGCAATTACTGGAAAGGTATTTCCTCTGTGAAAATCAGAGTGTGGCCATTACACTAAGTAGACTTTTAAGGATATATTATGTTGCTTTGTGGGGAAGCCATACAACTTTTTTTACCCCTTGAGCTTTTGTTTTCTGCTTCTTCCAGGCTGGACGTTTTGGGCAGCTGACATATGTTCGTGTTTATCAAGGGATGCTAAAGAAAAGTAGCTATGTCTATAACACCAGGACTGGGAAAAAGACACGGGTGCAAAGGTTCGCTCGCATGCATGCAGACAAGCTGGAGGTGAGTGAGGGGTTAGGACATGCCATTTCCAATTCATGTAGCCTTTTTTAAGCAAGTGAACTCTCCTTCTTAGTCAGAAGATATAAATCAGGATGCGATTGCGTCCAATCTGTATCAAAGCAAGAGTGTTGACGAGAAGGACTTTCTAGTCAAATATGGTGGTAAGAGTACCTTATCTGCACAATGGGGACTACTTTCATATAACATTGACCGTACGTTTTCTTTTCTAACTTTAATGGAATATTCTGTTTTCAGTTTCTTCTCTGCTCACATCTGTCATACAGTAATGAACAGCAGGTGCCCTGGGGGATGAGAACAACTTGGCTTCTATTAGTTGCCTCCTGCACCCTCATTTTGGCTCTGATCAAAAGGAAGGTCATCTCCCCTTTCTAAGCTGCTCCCATGGTGAAAATAGCATAATATTTTGCATATATACTGTACGCAAGAGGGATTCAGAAATGTAAAAACATAAAGGAAGGTTCTGTTTCTTTGGTTAAAAAACAGTGAGAACTATTGAACAATAACAAGAATTAGCACAATAGAAAAATAGCTTCTGTTCAGAGGTACAATAATCTGTACTTGCCTACACAATGGTAATTTTTTTCATAAAGGCTTCTGATGTCTCTTTCATTTTCTTCTGATTGTCATCCTACCTACTCTACTCTTACACTGTCTCAGGGCCTTTTCCCACTGCTCATTTGATCACAATGTATTATGTACATTGTGTGGGGTGTAAAATTCTTTGGCTCTGATTTGCATATCTGCTTTGTTGGTACTTTGGTTCCTCTCCATGGAGAGGAATGGTTCAATAACACTTTGTTTCTCAGCTGAATAGAAGAGGAAGAAGAGATGGTTCATCAGAGAGTTGGCAAGATTATTTATTTAATGCAGCTTCCTGCTGCTGTAGAAAATTATCTGCTGCTTCATCTCTGGTCATCCTGTGTTTTTCAAGGGGAGTTCATCACCTTCCAAGACAGTCTGTTCCACTGTCCTTTTTCCATTCAAAATATGGAGAAGTTGCCTATCTAGGGTGTGGGCCCTTGAAGATCTAAGAAAGAATTAAGTTAATAGGTTTTTATTAAATCTTAGAGACCCCAACCTGTGTGCACCAATGTGCCTGACACAACCAACATGGGCACTTGTCAGGCTTTCCTGCCTCCATGACCTCTTTCAAAAGGATACCGTTTTCCCCCAAAAAATGGTAAATGGAAGGGTGACATGCTGCTAAGCTGTTCCAACCTCCATATCATCTTTGTGTTCAAAATGACTCTAGACATCATGTGACTCCCATTGACAGTCTTAGAAAATAGAAATAGCAGACACTGTTGCCTAATGCTGTGTTCTGAAATGTCCACAATTGCTTAGAAATTTTTTGAAAGGTTAAGCAGGGGTGTAGCAAGAGAATATTCTTGGAACTAAAGGCAGTGGGAGTGAGGCACTCCCTGGGATAGGTGTGTGGCTATGTATTTCTTTTTAAAAACTTATGGTATCTGTGGTGGGTATCTGTTAGTTAATATTTGTTTTCTGTAACATTGTTTGTTTGCTCTCTGAATTAGGTACAGTATTTTGCTTTATTTTGTGAATGCAAACAGGTGATTTGACATTTGAGTCAACCCTCATATTTAGGTTGCTGTCCAAATCAGTTTTTTTAATCTTACCAGTTTGTCTTCTGGTAAACAGATGATTTATGATTGGCTGCAGACACCATGGCAGCCAGTTTGTAAACAGGCCATCATCTCCCCATGGCAGGTGCTTTTTAAGACTGCCTGTGACAGGGTTTCAAAATTTGTAATGTACCCAGTATTGAAACAACATTGGGATTCTCTGATACAGTAGTACACTGTTCCATTGCTCTGGTGAAACAGTGCACTTATCTATACAAACGTATTTGAAATTCTGAAATTTTATGTTTAATATTGCGGAATCAAAACGAGTACATACAGGCACTAAAATTAGCTGAGCCAGCTTCTGTTCTTACTATTATACTTTACCATCTCTTCCCAAACACTATAAAAAGTATCTAAAACATTGTTTTACATTGCTAGGATGTGGAAGAGGTTTATGCAGGTGATATCTGTGCATTCTTTGGCATTGAATGTGCTAGTGGAGATACATTCTCAGAGAAAGCGAATAGTGACCTTTCTATGGTAAGTTCTTAACTGTTGCAGCTTTCTTTATATTTAATTCTTTAAAAAATTGATCCCAGTTTCCTCGTTTGTATAAATATGAATTTTCCAAAAGAGATTTTGAACATTTCAGATTTAGTGTATATGTGCACGTGTCAGTGTGTATATATGTGTGTATATATATGTCTCCCCTCTCCTAGTCCAAAACGTGCATGTGTGTGTAAGTGTATGCGTGTATGTAGCTGTACGTATGTGCATTTATCTATAAAAATACTAGCCTGCTTTATACAAACTTTTGAAAACATAAAGCATAACGTATTAAGCTTATAGAAATAGAAGTTCTGCACTGGTAGAATAGGAAGCGTAAGAAAAAACAAATCATGCATTGAATCTTGCTTGTTTTTGTCTTAAAAAGAGTATCAGAATGGTTTGTAGACGTTATGGTATTGGATTAGGACTAGGGAGTCCCAAGTTCAAATCTACCCTCAGTCGCTGGATGACTTTGGACCAACCACTAGGATTGTTCTAAGAGGAGGAAGTTCCTTCCTGAGTTCCTGGAGGAAAAGTAGGGTGTAATTATCAGACAGATACATAGATGGACATAAACCATGCTTTATATACAAGGCAATCTGACTTTCTCTAAAAGGGAAGTGTTTGGATAGCCTGTTTCAGAAAACACTCCCAGAGTTTGGGAAGAGGCTTGAGAGTTCTTTCTTTCAGCTCCTTGTGAAGATAGGAATGTGCAAACAAGGGAAATCTCACATTATTTTGCTTACAATATTATTCTTAGCCCATTTCACCTTTCCCAGTATAATGAAGGAAGTTGGGAAGTAAAAGCCTGGGGCTTGTTCCCAGTGTCTCTTTTCTCCCTCTCCCCAAGCCTTAAATTCTAATAAATATGCATCACCAACACAGTCCCTGGAGGAGGTGGAATTAATTCATATCTGACAGCAATTGAAATATTTTCTGAACTCTCTTAAACCAGTTAGGTTTACCACCATATCGGCATATGTTCAGTTAATCCCAGCTCCCTCAAAAGCATAAAAAGTAACATTTCCCATGAGTTGGGTTTAATTCCAGGTGACTTCCTGACTACATATGTTCATGTAGCTTTCATGGCGGTAATACAGCAGTGGTTTGCCACTGCGTTCTTCCAATATTTTGTTTAACCTTTCAGTCTTCCCTGCAGCCTTGGAATTTTTTCTTAATCTCATACTCAGATACTGACCACGTCCCACCCTGCTCAGCTTCTGTTGACATCAGCACATTTTAAATAAATTAAATAAATAAATAAATAATTCGGGTCTTACATTTTTGTTATATGCCTCAAAATGTGGTACATGAAGATCTTGTATTTGCATGTATATGACAGAAATGCCATTCAGCTTTTATTTGAAGAGGTTGTCCTTTCTACTAAACCAAGCACTGTGTTCATATGACTTTATTAGAGTGACATAAAAGGCATAGCATTTCGCAGATACACTTTTATAAAGTGAAAAGAAATGAAATGTGTAAACTTTCATGTATGTGATTTATTTGATACATTTTAATCAGTGCAGGATTGCGTGAAAGAGATTCAGTGACAAACAGCTTTCTCATTAACAGGTAGTAGCAAAACTAACCAATAAGTTACACAGCTTTAATTACAGTTGAGAGTGGGGGCAAAAGAGGGGAGAATATTGTTCAGTTCTTGAATATAACAGTAACTCCATTAACTCATATATGCTGCAGATTTAAACAAAACTTATGGTTAGTTGTGAACGTTCCTGATTCTGCAAATCGTTGTGCCCTATTTCTCTCTCCAGTGGCTGCCATAGATTTGTTTTAAGGTATAACCTGTGTCCTTTTTAATGAGAAACTAACCTAAAATAATCTATGGCTAGCTTTAAATTTGGTTGGTTGTTGGTGGATACAGACAAGCCTTAAATGTCAGAGGGAGCCAGTGGAAAGGCATGTAGGTGGCATGGAGAAGACAGTGGATCTGTTCAAGCATTTTCATGGCCCACTATAAACTAATAATAGAATAGAATAGAATAGAATAGAATAGAATAGAATAGAATAGAATAGAATAGAATAGAATAGAATAGAATAGAATAGAATAGAATATTGGCCAAGTATGTTAACATATAAGGAATTTGACTTCAGTGCAAAGAGCTCTCAGTGTGTTTGCATAGCATCAAGAATAAGAAGAATACTGATAACAACAGCAACAACATTATACTAAAAAA